GTTTGAATTCTCACTCAGCCATATGATCACCAAGGCTGTAATCCTATCTCTGGGAGTAGGCCCCATTGAATTTACCACAGAAAACGCCCGTTCTTGTGTTGCCACTCTCCAGACCTCTCATGGAGGAGGCACATGAAGAAAGGCCTCAGACGATGATTGCAGGTTCCAGGCCAGTTCATATGGAGAGAGGAAGTCCTTGAAATTCAGTTCCCCACCCCCCCACCCTGCCTTACAGCAAGTCTCAAATTGGTTTAACTTAAAAAAATTCAGTTGTCAGGCTTCTGGGAATAAGATCCCTCCCCTGGTGGCAGCAAAGAAGCAGATAAAAAAGAAAGAAAGAATGTTGTTGTTGTTTAGTCATTTAGTCGTGTCCGACTCTTTGTGACCCCATGGACCAGAGCACGCCAGGCACTTCTGTCTTCCACTGCCTCCCGCAGTTTGGACAAACTCATGCTGGTAGCTTCAAGAACACTGTCCAACCATCGCGTCCTCTGTCGTCCCCTTCTCCTTGTGCCCTCAATCTTTCCCAGCATCAGGGTCTTTTCCAGGGAGTCTTCTCTTCTCATGATGTGGCCAAAGTACTGGATCCTCAGCTTCACGATCTGTCCTTCCAGTGAGCACTCAGGGCTGATTTCCTTAAGAATGGATAGGTTGGATCTTCTTGCAGTCCATGGGACTCTCAAGAGTCTCCTCCAGCATCATAATTCAAAAGCATCAATACTTCGGCGATCAGCCTTCTTTATGGTCCAGAATAGTTCTTACCAATTTTGTTGTTGTTTAGTCGTGTCCGACTCTTTGTGACCCCGTGGACCAGAGCATGCCAGGCACTCCTGTCTTCTCTTACCAGAGACAAAGAAATGCAGTCCCACTCTAGAAATGGTGTTGCTCCAAGTAAAGTCCCACCCCAACCTTCGTCTCCCCTATTCTATGTCAGTCCTGCATCTGCTAATCTGAGCCTTCTGCCTCTGAGCTCTCTGTTCTACTACCCTCAGTGCTGGTCCTGGGAGAAGGGGTGTGTGTCCAGGAATGCTTTCCAAGGACACTGAGTCTGTCAGCTGTCTCTCCCCTGGTGTTTCTACTTCTTCCTGCTGTTCCTCTTCCAATATTTCCCAGCTTCTGCCCTCTGCAGCCTCTGAACTATGCCCTTCTGCAAACCACTGATCTAAATCTATACTGTCCTCCTGTTCTCGGGAAGGTTTGGGAGAAGGGAGGGCAGCCCCCACTATTCCTCCTCAGTCCAGCCCCTGACACCAGTACATTTCAATGACAATCAATTAAATATAAGGAAAAGGGGGGGGGGAGCCACCACTGCAGTGTCTGCTAAACCGCTAGAAAAATAATTGTCACAATAATGAGAACCAGCAGCATAAGCATTAAAATGGATCAGACTAAAAAATACCCATTGGGAACAGCACCAAAAGTGCTAAAACCATTTGCAGTCCAGAAATAAAAGGAAGGTCTTCAGCTGGCCTGAAAACTGATGTTTATGCAGACATCTGGTGAGCTTCTTAAGGGAGAGCATTTCATAAGGGGCAGAGGGAGGGGGTGATATTTTTGGATGGAAATGCCCACCATCCTTTACAGTTGGGGCTGTTGGAGTTAGAATACATGACAAATACTGTGTTGGCTATCCCTGGAGTAGGAATTTCTCTAGGGGAAATATGATACTGAATAGCTATGCATTACTGTAGCTATGCATGCATTCTGGAATAGTCATAAATGACAAAATGGCCCCTGATGGTATAAACTTCATGTATGTTAAAGCTTAAATTTGTATGGGAAATTATTTAAATGGGATGTTGCCAAAACATTTGTTTGATGCTGTATTAAGGATACACCTTTAAATACTTTGGGGTGGGGTTGGGGACAGCTGCTTCATATTATCTCACAGTACATGTTCCAAGAACAACTGAGGGCTTTTGTTTTTACAGTGTACCCTATAATGTAGGGTTTGCAGCTTCAATGTAAAGTGGAGCCTCATGGAATTGTTTGTTTTGGGGAAAGTTCACATTATCCATTGCCGTTGATTTAGTTCTGAAGCCCGGTTTCCAGTAAACCAACCCAAGAAGTTTGATGAGAGCTGTTCCTGTGAAATAAAATTTATGAGAAAGGGAGGCACAGGGCAATCCAACTGTAACTACAGATAGCAAGAAGCCACATTTTTGGAGCATAACTGATGAGGAAAAAGGTGCAGTAGCATGAAGGTATCTTTTTATCTTTTCACTTTTCTCACCTGCTGAAAGAAAGTAGATGCACCATAGCCATGTAAAACCTAACAGATGCTCACTTTGTCTTCAATGGAGGCATTTGTAGCAGGAAGGGACCTCTTTTAGAAGAAGAAAACTCTGATAGAAGTAGGGTGATTCTACTGTGCTCAAACAATACAGAACGTGTACATCACTCAAGCTCCCATAATTTAAATGACTTGCTGTTGAATGTGCCAACAGATGGCACTGACAATGATTGCATTTGAAATGACATCCTGCAACATGGAAATCTTGTGATGTTAGATTGGAGAGGGCTCATTCAAACATAAAATCCACAAACCAGCTGCAACACAGGGATCAAGGGACACAGGTGTGAACTGGTCCTCTTTTTAAATTATTATTACATCCAAAGACTGCAGGAGCACTAAAATAAACAGGAGCAGGTCCTTTTGCCACGGCCTGCATCCGTTTAAAGTAGCTACTATTTTTCACGTCATTATTTGAGATTTGCAATCTATCCCTACAGAAGGGATGAAAAAGGTGTAAGACTACAACTCCCATCATCCGTGACCATTGGCTGTGCTGGCACCAACTGATGGGAACTGGAGTGTAACAATACCTGGAGAACCACTGCTTCCCTCTTTCTGCCTTAAGGGATCAGGTCCCAGGAATAAAAGACAATAAATGGATCCTGCTTTCTCGATGCAATCTTATGCATGCCTGCTTATAACTACCGTATTTTTCGCTCTATAAGACTTACTTTTTCCCTCCTAAAAAGTAAGGGGAAATGTGTGTGCGTCTTATGGAGCGAATGCAGGCTGTGCAGCTATCCCAGAAGCCAGAACAGCAAGAGGGATTGCTGCTTTCGCTGCACAGCGATCCCTCTTGCTGTTCTGGCTTCTGAGATTCAGAATATTTTTTTTCTTGTTTTCCTCCTCCAAAAACTAGGTGTGTCTTGTGGTCTGGTGCGTCTTATAGAGCGAAAAATACAGTATTTCCAGTGCAGCTTACCCACAGGTAAGTGGAAATAGGTATGGAACTGCAGTCTGCATTAAAGGGCCCTCAGGCATGTGAGGCAATGAAATATATCTAAAAGAGGCAGATAAGAGCAAATGTTGTGTACAAGTGTGCTTGTGTTTGTTCGTCCATTGTGAAGTGCTCAGCAAACAAAGGAAATGAATTCAATTAATGTTAAATTCACCTTGATCTATGTGGCAGTTGACAGCAATTTTATCACTCGCTTTCCAGTTCTCTCTCTTTTTATGTCTCACTTCTGATTTGGTGTTGTGTGATAACAAGAAACGAAGATGGAACACCGGGCCACAAAATGTACAGAGGAGCTTTCCATCTCTCTTGTGGTGGGTGGGGCCGCTTCCAAGTTTTCTTCGATACCCTGTGGGTTTCGTTCTCGTATTCTTTCCATTCTTTTATTAGTCAGCAATCACAAAGGGTATTTATAGAACTTTATTATGAGAACTTTCCGGAAGAGCCAAACAGAGTTCTCTCCGCCACAACCTGCTTTCTTTGCCACAGTGTTGAATATACAGGCTTATTTTACATAATCAGAAATAGATGTAAGGAAACACCCTGTGGTTCTCCATTGCTGGGGCAGAAAGTGGGGGTGCTTTAAAGGTACAGACAAAATGAAAGAGCTTAAAGACCTAGACAAGATGTAGGTTTTTTTAAAAAAATGGACCAAATAAGTTTCTATGCAGCCCATCTCTTTTGCCTAATAGCATCTTATGAGGATGTCAAATGCCTTCAGCTTCAAAGCATCTTAAGCACTTCACCATGGACATGAGTCAGTAGGAAAGAAGGGTGAAATAGAGTGCTATAGACAGATTTTTTTTTCCTGAGGTACCAGAAAAAGGGCCTGGCCTAGTACTAAAACAAGAGGTGGGGGTGGGGGAGAGAAGCTGCCCACAGTGAAGGGGAAAGTATGTTTTCTTTAAAGAATGTCTCTAGGTAGGCCATTTATAAACTCACCTGCCACCTTTTGACAGCCAGGTTTTGTTTTGCTTGCTCTTTTATTTTTTTAAAAACTGAAGATTGAGCTAAATGCATTGTGATTGGGCCTCTAGGGCAAGGAACCAAAGTAATGAAAGTACAACTAGATGAAAGGACAGAAAGCCAGAGGGAAAATAAACTATATCCACACACACACACACACCACTTTAGAAAGAATTCCAGAGCTTTTCCTAAAAAATGCCCACAAGGGAAAAGGCAGAGACAAGGAACTTATATTTTTGTAGTTAACATTCTGTATTGTTCATGCTCTGCTGTCTGACACTTTTAAATTGCATCTGAGATAAGGGGATTTCACCCAGTCGCTGCGTTCAATTGGTACTTGCCCTGAATGCTTTTGAACATTCAAGGGGTGTGGTTCTGAATCATAGCACTGGACTTGCCCCTTGAGGTAGCACAAGAAGCATGATCAGTAAACGGGAGCGCAAGTACAAATAAATGAAACTGAGTGCCATCACTTCAGACTGAAAATCCTGTTCACCTGCAACACTCTGAAATGAGGTGACTGGAGGAACTTCGATTCCACAGTGCTCAACCTACAAAGCACACAGTTGTAAGGAATATGTCTAGCTCTGAGTGTGAGCAAGCACTGGGCCATTAAAGCACAAAGAAAACAAAGCACACAATGTCAGAAGAGAACAGAATTTATTCTGAAATACACACAGGGAAGGGGAATCTGTGGCCTTCCAGATGTTTGTTGGGTTACAACTTATATTAATCTTACTGTTAAACCATGCTGACTGCGGCTGAAGAGACTTGGGAGCACATCTAGAGGGCTACAGCTTCTCCATTCTTGCTATAATACAAAAAGCTGGGAGCAATAATTGCTATGTGCTTACAATGAACACACATTCTAGAAACGCACACGTGAACGAGCTGCACAAAAATGCACACATCGCCACATTCCAAAGATTTTGCAGCCGAGTGACAGTTCCCACCCTTTTTTTTTACACCTCTTTTCATACAGCTAATCGGAAACTCTGGGGCTATTTTCCCATGGAACACCAAACCTTTCTGGTATGCACACTCCTTGGACTGATTTCCTTTAACACCTGAAAGCAACTGCCTTTCATAAATACTGCATGGCTGCCTTGCGCATGCAGATGACTGCCTGCAGAAACAGCTCATGGAACTGGGACACTCCACTGAATGCACCATGTATTCACATATCCCTTGAAACAACAAACAGCAACAGATCAATGTGTATTTGCACACAAACCATGTTTTCGGGTTACTAATTCCAACGAGGCTGTCTACTGGAATGGGTCTGCAAGGATACTTTATGCAAGACTGAAGAATAGAAACCAAATTTAGTTTTCCACCATACTCCATAGCAACAGAGGGACCTGCAGCCTTCCAGATGTTGCTGAAGATAGTAAGTGGTCCTTAAATGGAAATAACGACTCCCACCATCCCTGACCACTGGCCATGTTGGCTGGGATGGGTGTTCTGCCACATCTGGACCACTGCAGGTCTTCCACTGGTACCAGTAGAATGTTAAATGCTGCACTTCGTCCTGGCAGCTAAAGGTTTTTTACATCTAAGGGGAAGAGTTAAATTTTGTGGTCGAGAGCTACAAGTGAACTTTTCATTTTTCCTGTCTTATATACGAAAGGGAAGTCGAAGCTCACTTCAGTATGCCTGTACAACAAAATGCTTTTGTTCTAGAGCAGCCTTTCTCAACCTGTGGGTCCCCAGATGTTGTTGAGCTACAACTCCCATCACCCCTAGCTAGCAAGGCCAGAGCTCAGGGATGATGGGAGTTGTAGTCCAACATCATCTGGGGACCCACAGGTTGAGAGCGGCTGTATCTAGAGGCTTCAATGTGAAGAGTACCAAAACAGCTGGAACAACAGCATCCCAATCTGTGTCACACATTCACAAAGCACTCAACAGAGGTGAACCATTCTAGGTTAAAGTACATAAGGGTAGAGTTTCAGAAGAAAGCAGTATGTTGGACTCTGATGTCAGCTCTCAACCCAGCTAAAAGTTATCCTTTATGGAATTGTCTGTATTTCAAAGACAATTTCTCTGAAATCCCACGACCAAAAGAACGAAATATTATGGTTGCAGTTGAAAGGTTGATGCGGAGTTGTGTAGCATCAACCTTGTGCCAGTCCGCTCTTCTGTGCAGTCCTAATAATGTGACCAGAATTACATCCCACTGTCATAGTGCTGAAGTGGAGATCTAGCTGCTGAGATGTAGCCAAAGGAAGAGAGTACCAGCCTTGTACAAAAACATGCTTCTGTGCATGGGACCCATCTTTGAATAAAAATATTGTCTAATATTATCCAAGGGCAGGTCTAGCATTTGGAAATTCTAACTGGGGGATCAGTGTCAGAACAAATCCTACATTCAAAAAAATGCCCCCCTTTACTTCTTCCCTCGTCACACGCAGGACTTAGATCTGGACCTTAATTATGCTTAGAGGAGACTCAATACAACAATGGAACTTAAAATATAGTTACCACTGAAGTCCCACTAGCTTTAATGGGTTTCTCCTAAGCATAACAAAGTCTAGATCAGAGCTTTCCAAACTTTTCATGTTGGTGACACACTTTTTAGACATGCATCATTTCGCGACACAGTAATTCAGTTTTACTAGCAAACTGGAGGTTAAACTAACACCTTTTCAGCCCCGGGAGGAGCACTGAGCGCGCTCACGCAACACACCTACACACTGCAGCCGACACACTAACGTGCTGCGACACACAATTTGGAAAGCTCTGGTCTAGATCCACCTCATTTTAAAAGAAGCAGCGAGAACTAGGTGAGGCCTCATTTTGAATTCTATCATCCTTTCCACTCTGTTCTGTTTGGCACTTGAAGGAGGGGTTTAAAGGTACCAAAAGCATTTTGAAATTCTTTCTGTTACTGGGGAGTAACACAAACTCAGCTGGTACCTTTGACAGAGACAGACACCTGAGGGAGTATGCAACAGATGGTTAGAGTGAGGGAGGTCTAGCAATGTTGGCTCTTGTGTATGAAAGAGGGTTGTCCATCCCAAGCAGTCCTGGAAACAAAGTTATACAATATACTTTCAAGTGTCTGTATTATCTTCTAAAACTAGGAATAAAGTATGGTGTGCTGTGGAAAAAATTACGTATTAGCTCTAGTCAAGTGATATTTTATTGTTGTATATTATGCTTTACAAGTTTGACTGAAGCTCATTAAAAGCACTATAAAATTATACCCCAACACGTAAGAAATTAACTGCATGACATAAAGCATAGATAACAAAGGGTGATGGGAGACAGACGGAAAGGGGAAAAGCCAAGACAGAATCTACAAAAATGGGTAGTCTAATACTGATTAAAACTAGGAAATAATTTGCTTGGAGGTGGGAGGGTAAGTGTGGGGTTGGTGGGGCAATAAGTCAGCAATTCATCACTTTTGAGAGCAGTTTGGTGTAGATCAACAGTGCACCACCAATACACAGGTTTGTTACATATAGATGCAGCTAATGCAGAAAAGCAAGTTGATATTACGTGTAACAGAATTAAACTAGGCTACAATAAAGCAGTACACCAGTTTGTACTGCAGCCTTGGCACTTAGTGGCGGGATCATATTTGGTTTAGCAGAAGTGATATGATATGCAGGTCTCAATTTGTTGTGGAGTTTAATATTTTGTTTTCGTTTTGGTCTTTTTCTTAAAAAAAAACAACCCTACGTTATCCCTTTGAACCTTTCACATTTTACAGTACAGCTACTGATTGTCAACATTACCCTTGTAATAATAATAATAAGATACTGTTACAAAAAATATTACAGCAATTGTTTGGAAAGAAGATAATAAGAAGCAATCAATGGCTACTAATCTAATGCATTTAGTGATGGCCAAAGCAAAGTTCAATGTTTAAAGGGAATTATAGCCCAAGCTTCATAGCTATTATTGAAACATAGTATCAAACAGTATTTCCTTTTTAAAAGCAGCACTAGATCCTAAATTTGAAGGTCTACAAACTGCCTGGCCATCTTTTCTAGAAGGACAAATTTACATGATTTGTGTAAGCAAAATTTTACCATGACTCAGATTTAAGATGAAAACAACAACACCACTTTCAAGTGATTAAAATGAGTAGCCACCTCCCGCTATCCATACAACCTTACCCTTAAAAACATTCCTTCTTGTTATATAAACGTATATATAAAAAAACTTAACTGAAACTCTTTTCTCATCAAAAATTTAAACACCACCCTGGAGGGAGTTGGTTTATTATTTTTTTCTTTTTTGAAGAGTCTACACTGTCATTTACATTATACATATGTATGCAATAGACATTTTAATAATATGGAATAACACTTTAAAATTAACTGTTTGTAAAATATTTTACAAAGACATCATTAAATGGTGCTTATTACATATTAACAGCATGTAAGGATATTCACTTGTTTGAACATGTACACATCCCTCCCTCCCTCCCCCATTTAAACTACTATGAAACACCAAACATTGGTGTATGCGGTTCTAAAAATCCTCAGATAAAAATCCAATACAATGTTTTCCATTTTTAAAAACAAAGCTTAAAATATCCTTTTTTTTTTGTTACAAGGATCATCTCTCTCTAATTTTGAACTAAAATAATTTTTCAGTTTTTTCATCTCTTGAACAAAGACATTTAAAGTGAATTCACATACACATAGAAAGATAGCTTTTTCTTTTTAGAGTGCAATCATCAGGGATATTTAACATGAACAGACCCTCTCCCCACTGGAACGGTTGAAAAACAGCAGCCAATCAAAATTTGACCCTCAGTGTAGAAATTTTATTTTACAAAAGTAAACTTTAGTACTATTTGCTACTGAGACATTGCTTTCCGCTGGTTTTTAAAATTAACCTATCTCAATAACCACTTTAAATGGAAGTATTTGCATAGAGCAGCCTTGTACTTTTTTTTTTTAAAGAGACCATTTGACAAGTGTTGTAACACAAGATAAGGCACATGTTTTCAGTATTTGAAATTCAGAGCTAATTCCGAGGAGACAATTTTCTCCTAAAAGGTTTCTGTTTTTACCCTGTTCTACCTGAAGAATGCAGAAAAGCAACAAAACACAAAATCAAAAATCCCAGTCTTTTAACAAAGTAAAAACTCTGCACATATAGAATAATATCAAATTCTAAAGAAAAAACAATATACATTTAATAGAGAAGGAATACACTGCTTATAGGTCTCTAGCTTTTTAAAAACAAACCAAAGTAATCACTAAATAGTCACAAAGTAAATATGATTTGTTCTTACAGTGAATCTCCTTTTTCCTAACAAGCTCCTTTCTGAAATAAGGTAGCAAAGTTGTGAGGCACTTAAGGCTAACTGTAAAGGAGGAATGCAACGGATTTGGTTGTACAAAACCTAAAACTGTGTATCAAACCCTTGTATTAAACTGTCTACTAAAGTGCTAGAACCTGACATGTAAAGTAAAAGGATAAGCTGAAAAACTACTAAATAAAGTTAACTGAAGAAAAGACATAAAAAATTGAGTGCTTCACTTGCTCCTCTATTTAGAACATGGCTTTTTAAAAGGCCTAAAATAACCTAAGATTAACTATCTTATACCATTCCAAATAAGATCGTCGAAAGTGCCCATTTTATCTGCTAAACATAAAACCATTTGCCTTATCTTATGTTCTACAATGTGATGCAGTAATATTGCAATAGTGCATATTTTCACACTCACTGAAAATTACATGTGCACACTTTTAGGCCACGATTACAGCTCCAACTTCCACCTATAAATATTAGGTTTGGGATGACAAATCCTATATGCATGCGTTTTAAGTGCAACCACACATGATTTTCAATCTCTGTTCAATAATCCAGTCCTGATCTCTTTCTCTATATGACTTTGTTCTTGAACTACATAAAACCACTGGATGCCAAATCAGAGAAAGATCTGGATTCTGCTGGATGATGAAGAGGCTGAAGATGTGTTCCAGGCTGGGTGTTGACAACATCTAATTGCGGTGGATATGCATCATTCATATTTCCTCCATTAAAACTATTCTGGAACTAGAAAAAAAAGGCAAGGTCTTATTAAAGATAAATTGCTTTCTTCTTAACACTGCTAATTTATATCCAGGTACAGAATAAATGATCCTGCATGCAGTATCCTAATTTCACTGCTTAAGCAGAAACTATTTGATCCCAGCTAAGCTAGTTGCACTCGGGTCCTTTGGGAGCCAATGTGAAAAGTTATTTCAATGAAAACTAAATGCAACTTATCCCAACACCTGTAAAATACGTAACACAGAATCTTAATGGGACACATTTAACAGGTAGTGGAAAGGACAACTGTTTTCTTTCCCAGCTACCTGAAATGATTCTTGCCTAG